TATTTCTCACACTTTAGCATAAACTGAAATACCTTTTAAAATTAAATTTCTGGGGATTCTGGGTTGGTAGCTGGACTCTTAATTTTTAGCAAGCATCCTAGGTTCTTCTGTTGCATACCTGGATTAAAACTTGAAAAACTACTTTCTAGGCCTTTTCCATTTCACTACCAAATACTATTCTCACTTTTCTTCCTTTACTTTCACCCTATCTATACTACACTATCTATACCACACTACTTTCAGACTCATGTCTAAAAAATATATGTGATACAATACTTATTTTTTATTGGTTCAACTTAAATTTGAAGAGAGAAAACATGTCAATGATAAAAGTTTTACCTATGGAAGAGTAGGGGGGTGTGTGTGTGTGTGTGTGTGTGTGTGTGTGTGTGTGTTTGTATGGCCTCAGAACCAAACATGGACTTTTTCTGAAAACATAAAGAAAACTTTCTCCCACTCTTCTTAAAGCTTTAACTCAATTTCAAAAGTTTACAAACATTATGTATTTCTCCATCAGAAATCTATGTTCACATTCTCATTTTATATATTGTCTATACATACATATTACATGATTATATTGCTTTGTAATTGTTTACATAAATGTCTCCTTTCTATATTATGAACTATTTGAAATTAAGAAGCAACGTTTGTATTTTTATAAATGTAGTCTGTTAAATATGGCTTTGTATACAACAGCAGCTCAATTAACAATAATGAATGAATAAATGAAAACAGAGATGGAAGTTAAGGCTTTGACTGTTTACTATGCAACAGACACTGTTAACAATAGCCCCATATAATAGGTACTTTTATTATAAAATATTGCAAATACAAATATGAGTTCTAAGTGGGTTTAGTAACTTGCCCAAGATACTTAAAAGTGATGGGTCTGGCATTCTTAGGAAATGTGGACTGAAGTTCTTAACCACTACGCTCTTGGTAGTTAATTAAGGTTTTTCTAAAATAGTATACCAACTGTGTCTGTGTATACTCATCATATAGGCATCTCTTCATTTTTATGTTTGCATATTTGATAAACTTAAAAATATGTAAAATATTATTTTGTAAGCATGTTAGAAAAAAGAATAAAAACCTTTACATATTTTGTAAGAGAATTTTACAGTGTGAAAATGATTTATACAGTCTCTGCAGTTATATAAATAATAAGAACTCAAATCTTCTAAAGATAAATATTATTACCCTTTCACCAGGGAGAAAATGTAAATAAATCCTGGCTATAAATATTAGTTAGAAAAATGACAGTGTAAAAATCTTTATTGAAATTAATGTGTGGTATACATTGAAATAAAATGATTTATCTGAATAGCATTTAATCAAATACTAGTAACCCCCTCAAATCTTTCAACAGCACATTACTTTTAGTTTAAAAATATTAGTTGAAAAAATTTTTTGAAAACTTGTAAATTATTAGAGTCCTGGCTCCCTTGGTTTGTGATTATAAACCAAATCACAGTGCCTTGAGATTCTACAGGACATTTCACTGTTAACCATGCATGTGTGCTAGATAGAGCTGCTGTGGTCTTTAAAAAGTCTGGAAATCTGTAGAGGAAGCAAAATAACCTGTTTTAGAAGGCAGATAATTGCCTTTTTCCTTCTTCCTACACCATTGTCTATTTTATGAGCCTCCATTAGTCTTAAACATAGAGAGTGAACAAAAACATAGTGCTATAAAACTAGGACTTAGAAAAATAATCATCTTTTAATAATTTGTAACTATTTTTGTATGGCATTCTCTGAAAAGGTAGGTGTGTTTCTTTTAGTATTAACATTGGGGCTGTGTCAACCTTAATATGGGAAAAGTGAAGAACATTAGGAAAACAAATTAGTTTGAAAGGCTATGATCATGGCTGATAATATGAAAATAAAATTAGAAATGCCATTTATTTGCAAGCATATAATATATTTAGTTATTTATTCTTATAGAGAATTTCCCAACCTATTAAAAATAGACGGAGCAGCTCCAAGTCTTAATTATAGGTAGATTTGATTAACATGGTATTTTAAAAGTTTGCCTTTAATGCTAGAATTTCATAAAACACAACTGTTATTTCCATTTAAGGTGAAATTTACCACTTTAATTTGACAGAAATTCTAGAAAAACATAGACTTGTGTTTGTATTTCATTTTTTAAAAGCAACATATTATTTCTTCAATTTAATCTCTCTTTTTAGAGTAGACAATTTTGCTGCTGTTCTCAAGGAACTTGCTACTACTGGCTGGTCTCACAAGAAAAACATTCTTAAAACAAAGTTCTTATCAAACTATAAAAGTATTTCCTTTCTAAAGAGAATGTGGTTTAACATTGTGGTAAAGGATGTTTGTTGTAAACATAGAGTTACAGATACATAGTATAGTAAAATGGTCTCTTTCTACTGGCACAGCTTTATAAAAAGGATTTTTCACTCAATAACATATTTAAGACACACTACCATCTCAATACATATTACTTTATATCACTGGTTACCGGTGGAAATGATTTTGCCCTCCAGGGAACATTGGCAATGTCTAGAGATAGTTTTGATTGTCACAACTTGGGGCAGGTGTCATGCTACTGGCATCTAGTGGATAGAGTCCAGGAATACTACTAAACATGCTACAATGCACAGAACAGCATCTAGCCCAAAATGTCGGTGTGCAGAGGCTCAAAAATCCTGACTATGTCAACATTATTACTGCTTTTGATACATTTTATCAAACTGACTTCGAAGCAGGATTTTGAATTCACACTCTAAGTAGCACAGAATTGAGACAACCTGATTACCCAGGTCCTCACTAATACTGGATATTTACAATCATTTTATTTGCTAACCTGACAGGTAGAAGTGACTTCTCATGTCTTAAAATTTTTTTTCCTATTAATACATTTTAATGTCTTTTCATTTATTTCTTAGCTATATTCTTGAAGACTTATTTTCTACTTTTTTCTCCTGAGTTCTCACATCTTTTTCTTATTGATATCTAGGGACTTTTTAACATGAATTATACCAGACATGTATTTTATATGAACTATGTCAAACAGGTATTACATGTTTTTTATATAACTTTTACTTTATGCACTAATATCCCTTTAACAAAGCCATCTGGGAATCAGATAACTGGGTGGAAAACTCCAGGCTCTTCTTTAGTCTTAAGTTAAAGAACTGAGAAGGAAATAGAAGTACCACTAGTTCAGATCTGCTCATGGCTCTTTTAGTGGGCTGGGAACTTTGCTGAGAGCTCTGCTATATTCAGAAGTCGAACAGGGAGTACTGGTGTTGGGGACTGGGGAGATATTTCTAGCCCAGTCATATTAGAACTGTGGCAATTAATGCTTTTGGAATCCAAATGGAAATCTTCTGAGGGAAAAGAATCTCCTTTAAAATGTTAAATTTCTTCTTATCTATAAGAGAGATGGAGAGAGAGAAAGAGACCATGTGGTGTGTCTACGTGTGTGTTGTGTGCATTTGTGAGTGTTGCTCTCTGGAGAGCTTCCTCATTTGGGAATAAATGCCAGACCACCTATATTATTTGCAACTTTTAGATGAAATGTAGTATATTTAAAATATTTCACAAGACACCAATCCCTAAGTGTACTTACAACGAGAAATAGGGCAATAATCCCAAGGAATGAGTGGATTTCCTGTGTAGCACCAGGGTCCATGGGCATCATCATCTGGATTTCGGCAGTAATTCTCATTCAGCTTACTTGCATCTGGTTCCCAGAAGATATGACTGCGGAAACAACAGGTTTGCACATCACAAGATGCTCATTCCATCCAAGAGACACAAAATATTACAAAAAGATATAATCTCAGCACATTACTTTCACTGTAGATACAGTATAACCTTCTACTTGGGATGAATTTTAGCTATTTTGTTTGAGGTCTGTTTTGTTGCTGCTGTTGTTCCTACACTTTAGAAGCAGACTCTCTAACTTGGAAATCTGGAAGAGGGCTCCATAATTGGCATATTAGATTTTGTGATTTTGTCTCTATTTGAGAATCGCAGTGGCATGGTAACAATACTTCTGTGCATAGAAATAAGAGAAACATTGTCTAAAGCAAGCAGATGGCAAAGATTAAAACTATAAAGTACATAAAAATACAAGCTATTATACAAGTATTTTTTTACATTTTAGATACATATGAAGCATCACTAGCAATACCACTATGACAGAGTACAAGATATATTGAAATTAATAATGTGTTAATTAAATAATTAAAATTCTAAACTATACGGGTCATATGGTTATAAAATATTATTTTCTGACAGATAACTGAGCAATACTTTATTTCTAATTTACATCTTAACAATTTATTACAAAAGAAAAGCAAAGATTGTAAATTTACTGTAAATTATTTTATACGGCCATTTTCATTCATGTAACATCAATATTTACATTTACCTCAATAACATGAATGAAGTCAATTCTACGTGGTCACTCTGACTGCTCATAAAAGTCATTAAAACTATGCATCTTACTGAATTTGTTTCCAGTTATTAATTGCTACCATGCTTGAATATAATTAATGTATAATTTTAAATAAAACTTTAAAAAGCTTGAATATGGAAACTTGGACTATATTTCCAGAACAAGGTTCATTTTTCTGGACCAAGAATAATAGTAAACACATATAGTACTTATTACATGCCAGATTGTGTTGTAGGTTCTTTATAGATATAACCTTAGACCAATCTTATGAGACAGTCTTTAAGGTTATACTATATTACATTTGTGGAAATTGAAATCTGGAGAGGACAACTAATTGGTGTAATGTCACATGGCTTGCAAACACTGGAGCTGGGGTTTGAACCCACAGCTGTTTTAAGAGTCAGTGCTCAAAACCGCCATGCTCTATCTCCTACTTACAAAGTTTGTCCTTAAGCCAAAATGGTACCATGTGACTTAATCCTTGATCAATTTCCTACAAATTGTTTCCAAAAGTCAAACCTAAACTAGATGAATTAAGTATTATTAGGGACCCACTGATAATTTCTAAATAAATATATCCCATATTTTCAGTGGCATGCTGGTAAAAGTTTACCAACTGGTACTTTGAGGTATGTGTATGTTAAGGATGAAGATGAGGAGTCCTCATTTGTAGCTGTTGCTGATTTCTGTCATGTAAATATTTCTACTATGAAAATTTCAAGCTTCTAATGTAAAATCACTGAAGGCAACATTTTTGAAAGAAGATGAGAACAATTATATCTCACAAGTCCGTAAGAGCAATCTGCCCCACCCACCACTGCATGTTTCTAAAAATGCTTTAAAAAATAGCAGTGCTGAAATTAGCACTTATTTTAATCATGCCAATTATTATTTAAAATTATTTAATAAATCCTTTTAATCTTCAGGATAAAATTTACATTTCTTAATTGAGCTTACAAGACTCTCTATATGGTGTTGTAAAGAGGTAAAAATAAACATGTAAAAAATTCACTTTGTGAATTCCTTCTTTGTGGACATTGACCAAGTTACATTCTTTCAGTCTAACCGCAATTATTTCCTATATTCAAATAACCTAATGCTTTGGCCTTTGCACATACGATTTCTTGTGTCTAATGTCCTCTTCCTCCTCTACTTCCCTCGCCCGATTCTTACTCATCATGTACATCCCAGTCAATTTCCCTTCCTTTAAGAAGCCTTCCTGACCACTTATGTCCGAATAGGCACTTCTTCGCATTCTCATAGCATAAAATATGCTATCTTTCATAGTGTTCATATGGTATTTCCTGTTTGCTTGCATCCCACACTAGAGTGGGAGATCTATAAGGACAGAACTCTGCTGCTCTTTGAAGTCCTAGAACTACAGTGTCGATATAGTAGCCATTGGCCACATATGGCTAGCGAGAAATTGATCCAGTCCAAATTGACAGGTGCTGTAAGTGTAAACAGACACCAGATTCTGAATATGCAGCATGAGAGTATAATGTAAAAGATATTTTCAATTATTTTGTATTAAATACATATTGAAATGAAAAACTGTAGATATATTGAATTAAATAAAATATATTAAAATTAACTTTGCCTGTTTATTTTTACCTCTTTAAAAGTGGCTACTAGGAATTTAACAGAACATATGTCGCTTACATTTGTGAGTTGCATTATCTTTATATTGGACAGCATTATTTTAGAACCATCCTTTTTGTGTGAAGTAAATTAATTGAAACAATATAATCCCCTATTGAATACATTTTGGAAGAGAATAAGGAACTTAAAAGACTGAAGCAAAGTCACTCCATCTCTCTGAGCCCTTAAATTCCTATCCACACATAGGAATCTTTCCTATAGGATTGTGGTGGTCAAATGGCATAACTCAGGTAAAGCAGCCATGTTATAGGCACTCGATCAAATGACTGTAACTTGTTTTTTCTTTTATTCTAGTGCATATACTCTGGGATGTTTATGAAAAATCTGCTTTAGGTCACAATTATGTGTCATACTGCTTTCACAATTTTGTAAACACTAGCACTATTGCTAGGGCTGAATAGATGCTACCTTCTCTGTCTATGAGTATATCTATGGTAAAAATCTGTAATTCTCTAAAATTTGTAGATTTTTTTCAATTACATATATGTTCCTGTAATTATTGGAAAATTTTATGTATCAAAGTTCATAAGGAAACCTGTCATTACACATTTTTAATAGTTAAGGTTTAGTATTTTAGATATTTAAATTATATATGAGTAATTATTCATTGATTTGTCATAAACTACTATCAATTATTAAATATGAAAACAATAATCCCATAAAATACACTATTTCAAACACAAGATTTGCCACTTAACTATACACTGTCTTATTAAATTATGTAATTATTTTGTCAATGTGACTGTATCCTCCTTAGAGGTTGGAACTAAAATATTATCCACTTTTTGTTGATGTTCCCCATGATAGCAATTACAGTACAGAACACACACTAAATGCTCAATAAATATCTACTAACTTGAATTGTATATTTAAAAGTTTGCTACATAGAGAAACAATGTTATGATGAGTTGTAAAGCAAAACCAATCTAATGTTTTTATTAGTTTACCATGATATATAAAAGAATAGAAAGAAATAGCAATGTACATATTTAAGTATACAATTTGTTGGTATCACTACATTCTATATATTTGAAAGGAAGAAATTTACACACCGGTGTAAGTCTTCCATGTTCTTGTTCCACATTGAACATGTTAGTCCAGATCTTGTTTGGGATAAGTTGCCCATATAATTTTTGCCATTCCCACGATAACAATCTAGACATAAAATATACAGAAATAAATCTAACGACTATTAAGGCAGATAAAACAAAAACATTTTTTACGAGTATACAGAATCATGAAATCAACATAAAAATTAAAGTACTTGAAAGGGCCGGGCACAGTGGCTCACGCCTATAATCCCAGCACTTTGGGAGGCCAAGGCAGGCAGATCACGAGGTCAGGAGATCAAGACCATCCTGGCTAACACGGTGAAACCCTCTCTCTACTAAAAGAATACAAAAAATTAGCTGGGCGTGGTGGCAGGCGCTTGTAGTCCCAGCTACTTGGGAGGCTGAGGCAGGAGAATGGTGTGAACCCAGGAGGCGGAGCTTGCAGTGAGCTGAGATTGCACCACTGCACTCCAGCCTGGGCGATAGAGCAGGACTCCGTCTCAAAAAAAAAAGAAAAAAAAAAATTAAAGTACTTGAAATCTGTACAAATCAAAAGTACTCAAATATCTCAGGTTAAAATGTCTTTATTTTAAGTCCAATATCTTCATCAAAATAAGGATTTATGCAAATTCAAATGTAACAAATAATTTAAAAATAAAATAATTTAAATGAGTGGCCCTTGGAACAACAAAGAAATAAGAATTTTTAGAATAACACATGTATATCCCAACATTTTCTTCTGAAAAATTTCATTCCATAGAAAAGTAATATAACAAGCATTCATCTACTAGTCACATTCCTTATGTTTTGATTTTTGTCTTTTATGACATTAACATTCTGAATCACCCAAGTCAGCTGTTTTACAAATGCTCTTTAACTTCAGTTTGTTTGATTTATTTTCTCATGAATAAAACCAAGTTAAAGATACTTAACAGGAATATTGCATCAGTGATGCTTTGTCCTTTTTAGAGCATAACATCTTGTGGCACATGATGTCACTTTGTTCCATCACTGGTGATGTGTTTGATCACTTGGTTAAGTGGTGCAAAAGAAAAACTCCTCTTTGTATTTAACAAAAAATCAGTTGGGGTCTTTGAGTCTGAATAAATATCCTATTGCCAAACAAATTTTCACAAAATAGCTTAGGCATACATCAATGAATTTTGCATGAAACACTTTTGTCATGCTGATGGTAAAATGGTTATTTTGCTATTTCTAACATTTCTTTGTATTTGTTAGTTAGCATTCTTCTGTAAGTAAAAAATTTTCCTTTTCCCTTACCCCATTCATTTAGGTATTAGTAGTAGAAGTGCTAGCACTAGCTGTAGAAGTAGTAAATGAAATGTGGACCAGGGGATTTTCTTTTTATTTCATATGATATATAATCTATTCCTGTTATTCATTTTGATGCTCAAATTGTTCCAAATTTGGCCAATGGAACCCACTTTAAACTGACTCCTGTGTCTCTTACTATGCTCCATGAGGTTTTCTGTTTCTCGTTTTTTTAATTGAGCAATTTGTGTTCTCCTGCCTCAGCCTCCTGAGTAGCTAGGATTACAGGCATGCATCACCACACCTGGCTGATTTTTTGTATTTTTAGTAGAGATGGGGTTTCACCATGTTTGGCCAGACTGGTCTCAAACTCCTGACCTCAAGTGATCCGCCCACCTTGGACTCCCAAAGTGCTGGGATTACAAGCATGAGCCACCATGCCCGGCCATATTGTTCATATTTTTAATCAAAAGAAATGCAGTCAGAAATCAAGTTCTTCAAAAAATGTAAAGTTGGTCAGGCGCTGCAGCTTACACCTGTAATCCCAGCACTTTGGGAGGATGAGGTAGGTGGATCACTTCAGGTCAGGAGTTCTGGCCAACATGGTGAAACCCCATTTCTACCAAAAATATAAAAAATTAGCTGGGTGTGGTGCTCACGCCTGTAGTCCTAGCTACTCAGGAGGCTGAGGCAGGAGAATTGCTTAGATTCCAGAGGCGGAGGTTGCAATGAGCCAAGATCATGCCACTGCAATCCAGCCTGGGTGACAGAGCAAGACTCTATCTCAAAATAAATAAATAAAATTTAAAAGATTTTATCTCTCCCTATATATCTATATATTGCATTCCGAATTTTAAAAGAATTATTCTATTTTTAAAAATACTCTATGTTTTAAAATAATACCAAAAATTTTTAAAGTGACTTTTTATATTTAAGATTCTTAATTTTTATATGAATGAAAACTGTACATTTGACTATGAAAGGTCATCTACAAATTTACATCAACATTAAGATTTTATGTCGGGAAAAATAACTAATGAGTACTAGCCTTAGTACCTGGGTGATGAAATTATCTGTACAGCAAACCCCCATGACACAAGTTTACCTGTGTAACAAACCTACACATATATTCGAAAAAAGTAAAGAATGGAAAATACACAAGAGCCATAAACAAGAAAGTAATGAAATTGTCTACTTGCAATGGTGAGTAGAAAGTAGAAATGGAATGACATGGAAGCAAGAGAAAAGGACAGTTCTCTGAATTTACCCTTTAATATAGTATTGACTATTATCCAATATCAAGGTTTTAAATATTCAAAAAATAATATCCAGAAAGATGGAAATAAAGACAGAAATATGCCTATGTATATGTCATATGTATACCATTAATACAGAGAAGGAAAAAAAATCCAGATGATTTTTGGACACAATTTTCTGATTGTATATCTGACTGTATATACTCTCACTAGAATATATTTTAAGACTGAAATAACTGTAAATACATTCTATGATATCAATATAAATATTTAAATAAATTATATTGTTTACTGCCTTAAGTGTATAATACATAGTATTATAATAAGTAGTGTTTTATAACATTTTAAAGAAATTCTGTAATCAGTTTTCATTTTTCTTTAATAGTGTTTTTTAATATTCAGTTGGAAGAATATTTATATATATATTAATTCAGATGTTGCAAGATTTGAAAAATGTTTCCACTCATCTAACTATATGTAGCACTTATATTTTCTGTTTTTAGAAAAATGCCTACATCTAAGCATCCACTTAGAACGTTAGATAGATCTATCTACTTAGATCTAGGTATTTTTCAATAGATATAAATATAAACATTTTTCTATAGATATATAAAACAACACATACTATTAGCTCAGCAGTGTCAAACAACAACATAACTGACAGTTAAAATTCCACAGCTGAATGTTGATTTAGACAACAGTGTTTTTCTTGAGTAGAAAGTCTATGGCTTCTTTATTTTTAAATTGTCCCATAGTCTAGCAGTTTGTTGTATATATCAGGTGCAATGGTGCAATATATTGTTAAAGAATAGTAATATAATGTGGTGTTAAAGAATGAATGAAAGGAAAAAAGGATGAAAGAATGAAAAGGTCAATGTAAAGAGAGTCAGATTTAATCCCAATGTGCCAATTTGAGAATTTAGGAAAGGTACTTAAATTCCATAAAACTAATATTTTCCCCTATGAATGAATTATCTGATAAGCAATAACATGTTTACTCTCCAGAATCCAAAATTTTCATATTCTATTACCTGATCCTTTTTAAGTGATGTATATGTATATAAAAATATCTTAATATACACCAAAAGTTTATCAAATAATTGTTGTCCTTTATCACTCACAAATTATTAACAAATGTTCAGGTAAATGAGACAGGAACACAGAAGACTCAGCTGATACCAAACTTCTCTTAATCATTGACTTCAACTTTATTTCCAACTGACCCTTAAAAGAACAGTGAAACTGATTGAAAAGGGACTCATCCCCTCTTCCCTCTACAACTCTCTTTTCAGAGTTGCTCATGAACAATGGCATTATGGAAAAAGTTAAAGGATGGAAGAACTATGCAGAGGGCAGTAAGTCTATGAGATGGAGCTTTAAATTTGGCTTGGGATTTCCAGGATGATTTAGGGCTAACTGTGATCATGACCATCACAATTAAGTCTATGTGAAATAGAATATGATCATTTAAAAAGGATAACTCTCAATTTACTACACATCAATAATTCCCAGGACTCAACATTATTATTAATATTTAATGAATTATTTCTTTGAAAAATCTACCTTTTTAAAAAATTATTTTAGGTTCAGGGGTACAAAGGTAGGTTTGTTATATGTAAATTGTGTGTCACCAGGGTTGGGTGCATAGATTATTTTGCAGGCATATACATGCATGTGTCTTTATGGCAGAACGATGTATATTCCTTTGGGTATAGACCCAGTGATGGGATTGCTGCGTTGAATGGTAGTTGTGTTTTAAGTTTTTTGAGAAATCTCCATGTGGCTGAATTAATTTACATTCCCACCAGCAGGATATAAGCATTTCCTTTTCTCAGCAACCTCACCATCATCTATTATTTTTTTGACTTAAAAATCTATTTCAATCTGACTTTACTACCGCTCCCTGAGACAGTTATCTTCAATGGCATCTATGTTTCCAAATGCAATGGTGATTTCCCTCAAACCCCACGGTTATCCAGCAGCTACACTGCTAACAACCAGGGTCAAGTCACTCCCATCTGTAGTCTGAATTATTGAAACAACCACTTCATTGGTTCTCCTGTTTTAACCCTTGTCAAGAATTCTAGCTATTTTCCAGAATGCAGCCAGAGTGATCCAGTTAAAACTTAAGTTTGGTTGTGTAACTTCTCCTTTCAGAGCCCTAAGAGTCCTTTCTCTTTCAGAGCAAAAGTACAAACGTTTACAATTCCTGAAAGGCTGATACAATTTTAGCCCAATTGCCTCTCTAATCTCATCTCCTACTACTCTTCATCTTACTTATTTTGTACTAGCTATAGTGATGTGGTTATTTACTTAACTTTCCCAGAACTCCCTCATCTCACACCATTTGCATTTGCAGTTTTCTCTATCTAGAATACTCTTACACATATATGTGCATGGCACATGCTGCTCCCTCACTGCCCTTGGCTCCTTCTTATATGTTAACATAGTAAGTATGATCTTCCCTGAACATTAAAATATAAAAGAGCAGCAGCCCTCTTTTCTAACTCTGAGACATTTTTCTCTCTACTACTTATGACAAACTGCTGTAATATTCCCATTCTCATTTTTATTTTGCTTATTTTCTATCAGTTGGATATTAGCTCCAGGTGATCAGATAACTTAGTTTTGTTTACCGGTATATCTCCAAGGCTTAGAACTGTGGCTGTCAGTAGCATACACTCAGCTAAATAAATAAATGTTGAGTGAATAAACATATAAGAAAAACCCAACTTCAAACTTGGTGATTTTGTTTGCTAGCCAGCAAAACCAGTGCAGCAAGAAGTAGATTTTATGCTGTAAAATGTGGCCTCCCTTTAGGCATTTCCCCTGAATTTAATCATGCCCACCCTGCAGAATGTCAGCTATTACCTTGTCCATTTGACATATCACAGTTTGGAATTTGGGAGCAGTAACCAACTCGGATGTTTGGATCAGTGGTAAAACACCAGGGTGATTCAGACCCATCTGGATTTCGGCAGTAATTTTCTCGTAGGTCCCTATTGAGAATAAGCATGTTAATGTAAATTACCAGAGTTCTTACGCTGGTGAAGTCAGAGCTATTACATTGCTAGAATTCTAGAATGTATCATGTTTATAAATAGAGTTCTAAGTTTTTGCACTTAAAATAGCTATAACAATTTAATATTCAGTATACATAACTGACACTGCCCAAATTACTGAAATAAATGCTGTCATATGTTAATATTTTTTTTCCTTCCACAGGTGTAGACTTTCACCCAAACATTACCGCTTCGTAAAAGAGAGAAACGGTACCACTGCATTCTTCTCACTCAGTCTCAAGATTTAGACTCTCAATTGGTACCATTTCAAAACATTGGCCTGTTATTTATTACATGTTCATGACCCATATATTGTGTAGAAACAACATGTGGAAGAAACGTTATTATCAATAGTCATTAACTACTCTCATTTAAAATGGAAGTTCAATCTATTCAAATATGTCCCACGAAAATTATGATAGCTATTTTTTCCTTGAGTTCTGCATTTCTTTGATTTATTTAATTTGTTGCATCAATTTACTTTAATTACAAAGCAATTCTTTATGGATTTAGAGAGGCTACCTAAAATCTTTATACATATTTCTGTAAAATTAAGGCCCAGTTATACTATAGAAAAACGAACTATAGAACAAATTGTCAATGTAGTACATGTATATTCTTCATTTTACCAGTATTTTAATTAGAAATTTAGAATTCCTAATAAGAAAAAAAATATATGCTAATAATCCCTGTATGTAAAAGAATTTTAATGGTTTTCTATCAATATAAATAAGGTTCACATTAAATAAAATATGGATTTCATGATAAACAAAATGTATTAAATATGCTGTCTAATTTTAAACAAGTATGTGCTTTTATTTCATAGATTCCTTGTTAATAATTAATATTCAATCTTTTGGAAACCACAGTGTTTGTATCACTTAGCTCCAATTAGAAGTACTATTATACAATTATATTAATATCCAAATGGACCATTCGAAACTGAGAATTTTTTCTTTTTTTTTTTTTTTTTTTTTTTTTTTTTTTGAGACGGAGTCTCGTTTTGTCACCCAGGCTGGAGTGCAATGGTGCAATCTCAGCTCACTGCAAGCTCCGCCCCCCGGGTTCACGCCATTCTCTTGCCTCAGCCTCCCGAGTAGCTGGGACTACAGGCGCCCGCCCGCCATCATGTCTGGCTTTTTTTTTTTTTTTTTTTTTTTTTTTAAGCAGAGACGGGGTTTCACCATGTTAATCAGGATGGTCTCGATCTCCTGACCGCATGATCTGCCTACCTCTGCCTCCCAAAGTGCTGGGATTAGAGGCATGAGCCACCACGCCCGGCCAAAACTGAGAAAGTTTTAAGGAAGAAGCTTGTGTTGCGTTAGAAAGTCAACAAGTAATAGTGTTATCTAATCAAAGTCAGTCCTGACACAAACTATTATTTAAGGATATGAGAACATCAGCCACCAGTGGTTAAAGCCATGGTATAGCTAAGTGTTCATAACCCATATTCAAACCTTTAGCCTTCCTATACAATTATTAACTAGAATAGGTAAGACAAGCAATTTATAGTTACGTATACTTTTAAAAATCTATGTCAGTATAAAATACGTGTGTTAAATTTTACATAAACTTTGCATACACTTTGGCTTTATTTTCTAGTATTTGGTAGAGATGGAGTCACCCTTTGTTGCCCAGGCTGGTCTTGAACTCCTGACCTTAAGCCATCTTCCTGTCTCATCCTCCCAAAGTTCTGGATTGCTCATTTAGACAAGCTAATTAAGTGAAAATCGAGGGCTATCAAAGTCTTAGTGTGGACTGACTTTAACATCTGTATTAGAAGCACCTCAGTCAATCTAGATGAAGCAAGAATGAAAGTCAAGATTTGCCGAGATATTTTTACTAAGTCCTTATTTTTCACTTGAAGAAAGGATGGTTTATAATTACTAAAGGGAATTGATTTTATGATTTGTGTAGATTCATCGGAGGCAGTATTGTTCAGTTACAGTGTTCCAAAGATTGCCATTTGTAAGGTCTCAGTACCAGGGCAAGTAATATTCCATGTTTAATATTTAATAGAGACGCCTGACCAGTACACCCCTCACTACTGGATCACAAAGAGTAAATGGTAAGTCAATGTCCTGAGAAAAATGTTGAGTCAGATTATATCAGTTTTGTAACACAGCACAAGCTTTGTTTCATAATATTTATGTTTGGTTATTTAAACCAAATAACAAAATTAGGAAATGATGACTTAAATTCTGCCAAAATATAACAGGTAACTTTTGATACTTAAGTTTCACTTGTGAAGTCTGTGAAGTAAATGTTTATAACCATTCTGTTTTTCTTACAGATGAATTTCACTAGGTATCTTCATATACACAATTTCTTATTGGGTATTATGAGTCATTAGAAGTTAACAAAAATGTGAATGGCAGTGACACTATCTCCTTTGTCCCTTATAACTAATATTCTCTGTGTTTCTTTGGTTTTTTCTACTTTGATATGTATTTCTCAGGTGTGAAACTCATAGGTCAGGAATAGAGAGTGAATTGCTGTGATGGAAATTAGGGAAATAAACCCAGAATGACAACTATCAATTTTGTTATTGTAAATTAACGGGAAAACAATCTTAGATTAATATTTACTATTTAAACAAGTTATGGAACTAGCTAAAGCTTGTGCATGCACACACACACACATACAACACAAATCTCCCCTCTTCTATGGTGGATAGGCCAACTGGTGCTCACAGCTCCTCATTCAGAAATGTTAGCCTGTCTTATTAAAAGCCTATTACATAAAGCCAATATATGTTATTTATAGGTGCTATTTCAGGAAAGCCACTACAAATGATGTGTGTTATTAATTCAAAAAGCAATCACTTTATGTTCCTCATAACAAGGTGGACAATTTGAAAACACATGGCATTGTGTTTGTGCCTTTCTACAAAAGCCAAGTGGTGTGAAAAGTACCCATAGAGAATGCACAAAACAACTATGTAATTGATGCTCAAGGGCAGTTTCTTTGGCTTAAGTCATCTACACAATTGTTTTGCTTCCTCACTTTTCAAAGCAAATCCAGAAACAATTGAGCACATTCATTTAAGCTTTGAAAAATTATTTTATTCACAGATCTTTAAGGCTAATAACTCTTCAGTGGTAGGCCTTTTCTTTCCATTCTTTCAAAAGGAAAAATGTGTAATCCTCCCAAAGCTAACACGAAAATTTAAGAAGGCAGTATTTTGAAACATGCCTGGCTATCATTACTATTAATTGATTTATTAAACAGACCCACAAGAGCAAAGTTGTGATCAGAAATCCACCTAGGGATGTATTTCCCAAAGCATAGTGAATCTACCCTCTGGATCTGAACCACCTAGAGTGCTTTATGAAATGCATATTTGAGGACCAAATCCCAGATCGAAAGAATCAAAATCTCTGAGTAGAGGAATAATCTGCCTTTTAACTCCTGATTATCACTGGGCACAATAAAGTTTGATCACTAACACAAAATTAGTAAAAAGTAACCACTCTACCTCATTTTCCCCAGGGCCTACTGAAATGTATAACATTTGCCTACTTTACTCACTTGCACTTGAAATTTTCAGGAGTCATGTCATGCCTGTGAGGATACTGAGAATCCCAACGCTGACATGGAATTCCATTCCAAATGGTATTGGCAGTGCCCCTGTAGCCTTCTCCTTGACCTTGGATGCATTCAGTTGTTTCCATAGGAACATCAGTATCATTTACAGTATTGTCAGCTATTGGAAAAACAATAACAAAAAAACTTACATAAAATCTTTGAAGATGCCATCTGCCTCTTAGAGTTCATTGGCATTTTTATTAGCAGATTTTTTTTCCTGTTACTTATAAGTTTTTATAACAATTGAGTGGAATAAGAAATTTAACTTAACATTATTACTAACTTCACTCCAATTTTCCTTCATTTAGATCCTAAATTAGTTTTTTCTTGAACAGTTACTTAAATGCATTTTACTTCCACATGTATAACTTACATATGCTGAATATATAGTGTTTCTGAAATGACTATACAATTATTTCTAAAATCAGCTTGCTTATAAGTACATACTAAGTGGTAATGAAATTAACCACAATTTTCCTCCAATATAATACATACATTCTGGCCGGGTATGGTGGCTTATGCCTGTAATCCCAGCATTTTGGGAAGCTGAGGTGGGTGGATCACCTGAGGTCAGGAGTTTAAGACCAGCCTGGCCAACATGGTGAAACCCCGTCTCTACTGAAAAAAAAAAAAAAAAAAAGCCAGGAGTGGTGGCAGGTGCCTGTAATTCCAGCTACTTGGGAGGCTGAGCCAGGAAAATGACTTGAACTCGGGAAGCAGAAGTTGCAGTGAGCCAAGATTGTGCCATTGCACTCCAGCCTGGGCAAGAAGAGTGAAAGTCTGTCTCAAAAAATGAATTAAATAAATAAATAAATTCTAAGTTTCTAAGCTGACAAGTTAAATATATTTTTAATCAACTTGTTTATAATAAAGAAAAAAATCAGTTATTCCTAGGAAGATCTATCTCCTGCTTTTTTCCCAGTCCAACTTCAATGCTTACTACACTTCATGAAGATTATGAAATCCTCAGTCACTAAGCAAAAAAGGTATAAATTTCAATTTTTACCACAATTTGGTCTCTCTCTGTGTGTAATGTTTAGTCAATCAAAATATAACTCAAAACATTCCAGAGCAACTAAAATTCATATTTCTTAAAACATACATGGAAATGTTTATGGTTTGATAAAACTTCCCAGCTACCTTTACAATCTAAATGGCCATTCAAGATGCCTCCGAATGAAACTCAAGTCAACAGCCTCTAGGACAGTTTAAGATCTGAGTAAATTTCATTGATGTATCCATTTTGGAATTGGATGTACCACTGTACAAAGTACAGGCCAGAATTAGACATGCTTTCAGTGACTAAGAATGCCTATGAAAGTTTTCTATAGTTAATAGTGTAAATATTTTTAATAGCTCTTAAATTTCATCTAAACATTTCTCTCACACAAACCATTGCTAACTTATGTAGTTAGCTGAATGCTTTATTTCATTGCATTCTATGAGCTAACCTTAGGCAAACTAAACAATAGCCTATGTTTAGAGTTATTCTATGAAGCTTTGTGAGAAAAGGGAAAGCATTACCTTAATGACTATCCTAATTACTGAAATAAGTTGTACTATGCAAATTTCCATTAAATTCCTTTTAAATAACTTTATTGCAACCCATTTAAAAAGTGTCTCAATGTTTTGTATATCTGCTTTAGAGAATAGAAATATGACTCAGAAATACCCAAACTTAAAAAGAAATTCAAATGAAGATGAAAAGCGTTCAGCAATTGACCCATAAAGTGGTAATGGAGAGCTGATAGCCTAGAGAATTCATCTATATTGATATTGATGATATATATTGATTTTAGGAAGAACACAAATTACTGAACTTGGGGAAATGGCTTGTATAGAAAAAGTTGATGCTGATTATGCAAGTCTTTTATAATTTCAATACTATCCAAAGGTCTTTGGTGAAATACAAAATAAGATGGATTTCATAGGTCCTAAGGAACTATATTTCATCAATATAAATGCCATTAAGTTACTCTATTTCTGACTATGTGAATTAACTGTTAAATGATATGAGGAGACTGAATGTGTGGGGGAAAGTTTTAATAGATGATAACTCTAAAACAGGTAAAAGGTCAAGTTTGTACTGCCATATTTCATATCTAGTTATAAAACTGATGGGAAAGGAGACAAAAATAAATGTCCTTGGGCATCTATCAATTCATTAGCTTAACACGCTAAAAGAAAAGTTTTGGGGCACAAGCTCTTGGGCAGCAAACTTGTGACCTCAGTCAAAACTAAGTCCTGACAATAGAAGGGAGTTCAGAGTTAGAACAGCCAGTGTAAACACACTTCCACTAATCTCTTCGACTTCATTGTCTGCCTCTGGTACCTCAACTCTTTTACTTTCCTACTCAATTGTGTGTGATTTGTTTTGATTGTTTACTACTGAGCCATTCTTCTCAAGCACTACTCTTATACTGCGCATATAACTCACAGATAAGTCTTGATGAGTCCAGGTGTCAATCAGTGCCATCTTTGGCTGGATATGGACCCATCCATTGCATCTCACTGAGAAACTAGTTCAAGGCTCAGTCCAAGAAAAATTAACACACCACTCCTTGGACACAAGTATGATTTGCCAGATACCAATCAAGACAATAAATAAAAGGAATGTAATATTTAGACATGATTAAGGATTTGAACATTATTTGTTGAAATTTCTAAATATGGAAGCAGCTTCAAAAGGCTGTTTCCTCTACTATGTGAAGGTAACTTCCTACTGTAAGGATATGCCTGGGTGGGGGTGAGAGAGTAAAACTGTCTGTCTATGTTGTCAATATAAGATTAAATATCAATTATTTCTACAGCATGTTATTAGTCAAGGGTGATTCGAATTTCAAAGTAATTTTTCCAACAATAATACTTTAAAGTTACACTCTTACAGAAATGACACATGATAGTTATAATCTGAAGCAATATTTAGAGCCTTAAAGTCAGAAACAAGTGGAAATATACCTTATAAAAAGGGAGATAGTAAGGTAGACATAGGTTATCACAATTCATTAAAAAAATCAATACTTGGAAGGTGCAATGAGCAACTATAAGCAATTACGTGATAATCAGATAATATTAAGAGGAACGATAAAAGGTAAATACTGATAAAGGATAAACATATTCCTAATTTGAGAGCAAATTTTGAAATTTTAAGAACCTCTGTGAAATGAGAGATCTATATTACCAAAATCCCAAGGCAAAGAAAAGGCTACTTGCTTAAAAATATTCAGGAAAATAGTTCACTGCTGATTTATCCACTAAAATTTCAATGTCAATTCAGACATGTATTGTTAGTGCCAATTCTCTACTTCAACTGGAAGTTTCCAACCAGATTTAATAAAAGAATATTTCACTTTTAAAAATAGCAATGATATAAATCTCATCATTTGAACTATCATGTTGAATAGGTTTTTTTCTAAACTTTCATTAGCATATTTTAAAGCGTTTATTATAAACTTCAAGAGTCACTGAATATTCATTTTTTAAAAAGTATGTTAAATCATTAAATAAAAACCAAAATGCTGGCTTTGGATTAAATAATTTAAACAGTTTAATACATTTTAATTTGGACATGGAAAAATAAAACCTTTTAGAATTTTTAAAATTATAGAATACAAAGAATTACTGTAATTAATATAAATATAACATTTTACCAAATAAATATAACTTTTTCATTAGGTTTTATTAAAATGTAAAGAATCTAAATAATAACATTATTTTTCATCTTTTAAAAAATAAATATCTATAACTTTAAAATGTGTATAACTCTAATAACTTAATAGTTTTATTTTTCTGGTGTTTTAATTCATTGGAAATATTTGTCATTATTTTAAACACAAACTAGAGTATTTAGCTAGTATTTTTCTTTAACTCCAAAGTACCTTCTGAAATCAGTGCATTGTATTTATTCCCTTTGACATTGAACTGCTAGAAGTCACCCCATAAATAAAAACTACATAATTCTGGTGCAATGTATAGAATAAATAATACAGGCAAATAAAGATATATTAGTATGACAAGGTAACTAAATAGTTTTCATCAATAAATGAGAGTTATTATGAGTCTCCATGAAGCTGTTTAATAAATATCTGATGAGGACCATGATGAATGATTTGTCCATAGACCATTTAACTGTGATATAAATGTTTGATCTTTGCTGCTCCCATACTTACTATTCAAACAAAATTAATTATTCCTCAATGGCAGTAAAACAAACTCCTCCTGCAGCCCTGCTGTATAAATATCAAAACCGGGTGTAAAAATAAAACAAATATTTCATGACAATTGATTTGGGAAGGGCTATTAAATGTTGGGAAAGGCATTCCTTTGTACTTAACACTTAACATGGGACCTGAGTAAGGGAGGGTTCTGAAAAATCTCCATTGGCCAAACTAAAATGTCAGAAAAGACAGAAACATTCCCAAATATCAGCTGAAGTTGATTGTTTAGACAAAGCAACAGGTATTTTAAAATACAGCAGCCCCACATACACAAATATATTTTCAATTCTGTCTACCAAGTTAACACTAAAAATATCTGGAACTCTTCTGAGAGTTTCTACAAAGGAAACATTTTGCCAGGAGTATCAGTAGTGGCTACCCATTGGAAGCAGAAGCAAAGGTATTTGTGTAATCGTCAATGGTCTATGAGTAAAGGAATGCTTTTCTTTGATGATTGACACAAAATTTGCTGTTTGGAAATGCTTTAAGTAAAACATTTGCTATCAAAATTTTTCACTGTCCTGTTTGAATATGATCAAATACAATGAGTGTCTCTTGGAACATTAATTTCACTTTGCTGGTGTGGTTCTGATGTGATCTGATTGCTACAAAATTTGGAAGTGAATTTTAAGATTTGAATAGATTACTTTTGAGACAAAGAGTATTCATTGTTGTCTAATTCTTGGGACAACCATCTTGCCTCCCAACAGTGACCAATAGAACAAGATCAACAATTTTAAAAAAAATCTGATTAGTTTTCTCTGTGAAGGGCTGGCCAAAGCCTTGCAGAGAGGCCACAGGACCCTGTTGGAGGTCTGAATGGTAGCTAGAGAGGAAGAGTGCATAGTATATTACAAACAGCGACCCCCAGGGCTCTATAAGCTTCATATGAATGATGAGT